CATACTAGCTAGCGAGCTCGCACCACATCTGTCCTCCTGCGGCAGTCAGTTCTGTTATTATAGATTGGGATGCTGCCCCTTCCTTAATGTATAAACCAGAGGCTGGTGGTTTCCATGTTAACTAGTCAGTGTAATACAGCATGTTAAATGCGCACTAGGTCAAGCCGGGAGAGTTTACATGAGCATGCGTGATCTCGGTAAGCCTTAAGCATCAGGAGCTTGGGAAGTGCAACCGGATGCAGAATCAACTTGGAGGACCGGGATTGTTACACAAAACCCTGCATGGCTTTCTGCTGTATTGGAAGCGGGAAGTGATGCCTATTGACCTTGATGAAACAGAATTGTCTATCACATGACCCTGGCAGAATGTCACGTGATGCTGCTTTGGTGTCTTTTAATGTCCCTGTGAGAGTAGGTTGTATCAGACTGAAGTCATGTGGCCTAAATCTTTCTGTGTTCAGTTTGTCCTTGAAAGAAAATCCGCCAAATTTTTACAAGGAACAAGAAAAGCATCCATTTGTCACTCGTCTCGGCCTCAGTGAATATTCTCTTATGTACTCAAGTGATCATTGACATTTCTGTTGGGGAATAAACATTGATTATCCTGGTTTCCGGAATATACCTGAAATGTCCTAAATTATTGAATATATGTAATGAATATCCCAGATTCTGGAATAGACCTCAGTTGACCTCAATTCCGGAAATCATGTCTCCCGCTTGGTTAGAGTGTGGGTATAAAGACAGGCAGTAGCAGACAATTGGTTCCTAAAATCAGTATCCTAGCATGAGTTCCCATTCACTTATTTTACTCAATAAACACCTTAAATAAATCAACTGGTAGACTGTCAGTTCATAGATTAGCCTTAAGAAATGTAAGTCAAACATGCAGGACAGCTTAATTTATCTAACTGATAACTTTAAAAGCCTGTTTAAGTCTCATAACCTTCATATAAAAATCCTACAATAAATGTGTATCTGGCTTCTGTTGTGTTTTTAGTCGTTCTGAATTCAGTGTTTTTTTTAAATCCTGTGTGGGAGGCTATGTGAATCTGTGAACCCTGAAGGTATAGGAGCAGCCTCTATTGTTTCCGTGGAGACGGAGGCGGCCATTGGCTCCTGCACAAATGATTATTTCCTGACATATAATCACATCTGTTTATCTGTGTATTTAACTGCATGTAAATGTATTCGGTTGTGTTCACTGTGGGCATGTGTCAGGATAACAGGCTGTACCGGAGACATTAATGGGGGAGGTGGGGGGGGGGTCGGATACCACACAGCTCAGCGCCTCTTCTGTTGCTGTGGTTACAGCGAGGACGGTTCCGTCATCAGCAGCGAATCAGGGAAGGGCAACTCCTGCAGGGCCACATCAGCGCAGAGGGTCCCAGCCCAGCAAAAGCCCCCTCGAGAAGAAGCACCCAAGAGGACTGGTGAGCCTTTGATGCACATCGTACATAATCAGAACAACAACAACAACCACAATCACTGCAATAATAATAAATAATAATAATAATAATAGCATTGTCATGCATGAAGTCACTCCCTTGACTGTGAATGTGCAGGTATTCTGAAGGGGGAATTTGGAGGGATTCTTTTTCACAGCACTGTACATCCCACAGGAATCAACATAACATTTTATACCCGTCATTACACAATGACAACAGGGAATATAACCCAAACACCATTATTTCACAATGACAGTACAGGGTTCAGCATAGACAACATGTGACAGCAGGCAAGCAAAATCCTAAAAGAGAAACAAATAATTATATCCTGCAGGTAGTCACTCCCCTGAATGTGAATGTGCAGGTATTCTATAGTAATGATGATAATGTCCTGTGTGTAGTCAGTCTCCTGACTATAAGAATGCAGGTATTCTGTAATTATAATAATAGTGTTCTGTGTTTAGTCACTTCCCTGACTGATTGTACAGGTATTCTGTAGTAATGATTGTAATGTAATGTGTATAATCAATCCCCTGACTGTAAGTGTGCAAGTATTCTGTAATAATAATGACGTTCAGCATGTACTCACTCCCCTGACTGTGTGTGTTTGCAGGTATTCTGGACGGCATGTCTTAACTAGTAGTAGTAGTAATAATGTCGCAGTAGTAATAATAGCATTGAGGAGTTCTTCATTTGGTACTGGGCTCTGTGCCCTCTTACTCTGACCTGTCCCCCGGCTACTTGCAGCTTGTACACATTTGTTTAGTGATTTTGTGGTGTCCTGTGTCACGGGACATTAACTGTGCTGTCGGAGCCCCCGCTGAGCGCACAGGTGTTCAGCATCTTCTCCCTTTAGCTGTGTGTAGCTGCCCTGAACACGCGCGCTGGTATCTCGCAGATCCATACGGCTCCTCAGGCTCCCTGCAGCTGGTCTCTGTTCAGCCGGCTGCCCCCCCGCAGAGCTGTTCGCACCCGCCCTCCTCTGACCGCAGCCAGGACTCCAGCATCCTTAATGGGGAGGTGAGACTGTCCACCGCTACCGGCACCACACATTAGTGCTTCATTACTCTCACGTTATTATAGATACATACTCACCTGTCTCAGGAAGCAGAGGGTACGAGGCAGCTGATTGGCTGAGTGGGGCCCCAGCCCATTACAGACCACTCACTATGGGCCATTCAGGATAAAAAAAAAAAAATGATATTCAGATATGTCATGTGACACTGGGAGAGCATGCAAATTGATCATGTTCACACACATTCCCCAACCCGGAAACATATCAGATAACATAAGATGAACTTTATTGATTTCCTGGGGAAATTCTGGTTCATACAGCAGTAAACGTAAAGTGCAGACAAACAACAAACAAACCATTCAGAACAAAGTGCACAGACAGCACACATATCGCAAACAAGTATACATGGTGCCGGCATTTATCAGTTAAATAGCAGTGATTATATGAGCAATACCTGAAAGCCTCAGGCGACAAATGTCGTTTATTGGCCTTTAAAGTTTTGTTTGAGAACCTACTACACTGGACTTGCAAATACAGCACACTTTGTGCTTGCACGTAGATAGTACAAAAAATGTTTAAAGTACGCAAACAGATCATACTGAAAAAAGCTATTAGGGAAATAAACAACCAAATAAGTAAACAAACAAACAAACAGATAAAATAAATAAATTCTTAATATTGTCAGTAGCCCTTTTCCTCCATGTATCTAAAAGTGACTCTTAGTCCTGTCCAGTGGTACTAAAGATAAACCTGACCTCTTGTTTTCAGTAGTTCAGGGCTTTTCGTTCACACTCCTGTCCTGTCACTGGTGTTTCACTGAGCCGTTCACATTACAGCACGTTCCCCCCGACAGTACAGAGACGGATTTGCAGTGTTTACCGTCGGTAATGGCAGGATTTTCACGATGACCTCCCGGGTGAGGAGGGATTAAGTGCTTTAGCTAGCGTGAACTCCACATGTGCAGGTGAACATGGCCCTGAAGCAGAAGTCAGACATTGAGCGCTATAGGAACAAGCTGCGTCTCAAGGCCAAGCAGAGAGCTCACTGCGACCTACCCGCTGTGGAGAGCAGTGGCCGCTCCAGGGCTCACGGCCACCAGAGGGCGCCGCTGGATGCCAGTCAGGGATCCACATACGTCAAGTCCAGTGCGAGGTGAGAGCAGCAGAGCGCGTGTTTCAGTCTGACTTTGTGTTTGTAAACACAGGCTGAGCAGGACAGCAGAGCAGACCATCGTTTTTCAAACAGGAAATGTAGGATATGCTTTGGGGGGTGGGGGGGGGGGCGATGTGCTACAACTAATCTGGATGTGAGACGTATTAACACTCAGAGCCATTCAGCTGGATGGAGTTGTTCTGCTGCAAGTATTTATTTCCATTCCTGAGTCTAATTTAAGGTAAAATTCATACACCCTCCTGTTTCCTCACAGCATCTGAATTCTGATACACTGTGAATTCACTTCACTGACATGTCACAAGTGTCTGAACACTGTTTTTATCAACAAGAACTTTCTATTGAAGTGTATTAGACAGATTTTAGATAGATAGATAGATGGATAGATAGATAGATAGATAGATAGATAGATGGATAGATAGGAAATTGCAGGTTTACAGCATCAGCACAACGATGACAAAGACTTCAAATCCAGTGGCTGAGCAAGGCACTTCCCCCCCCAGTTAAAAGCATCTGCTAAATAAATAAAAATGTAAATATAAAATCGAACCAGGAAGTTGATGATGATGGAGCTGATGATGATGACGGAGGTGATAAAGATGGCCTGTCTGTAAAGCCAGCTCTGGCAGTATACATTTAAATACTTGAATTCGTGGCCATAAGAGGATGAATTTGAGGAAGCACTTCTTTACACAGTGCGTAGTTAGAATATCCTCCTGAGACCCGACCTATTCATTTATGTCCATTGTAGTGGACATTGTATTTTTGCATTTATTTTTTCACTGATGTTGGGAAACGTATTTATTCTTGTTGTGCACTAAAGAGGACATGCTGTGAAATTAAAATAAGAATAAATTTGAA